AATTGGGGGTTGTCTCATACTGCAATTCGAAAAAAGAAACCTTAAACATTATCAAATAAACTGGTAAGTAATAAAACCATTTCTAAAAGTGATGTGAGGTTTGGTATTGTCTTGATGGAAGATGAAATTCTTCTGAATGGCCAGTTCTAGATGCTTTTCATTGCTTCAATTGGGGAACAGTAAATGTCTTAATACAATGTCTGATTTTGTGGAAGTAGCTCGCAATACACAATGCCCTTTTTAATTCCACCTGATACATAGTATCACCTTCATATGTGGACAAACTTTTGAGAGTGGTTAATTATGGCTCATTTTATTTTTTTCTTATCACTTTTTTCACTCTACATTGTTGTAAACAATCCATTTTTAATAACTTGTGATCATTCTTTACAAAAATGGGTTTTTGCTGTGTTTGAGCAGAGAAACAGATAAATATGTGGTTCATTAAATTTTTTCCATTGTGAGGCAACCAAATATAGTATCAATTAATGTATCCAAGTGTTTTCAAATGCCTTACAATGCTCATAGGATGTATATAGAGTATCTCTACAATTTTGTGTGTTTTGTGACCTGGATTATTTCCAATCAGCATTTCAATTTAGTAATTACCAATGACTGCAGGCCTGCTAGAAATTTTCAGTTTTTCACATCAAAATTTCCACTGCTGATCAGTTCTCAGCTATGGCATCATTGTCATAAATGGCACATAACCTGTTTTGCTGATTTTTTTTACCTTTCTGTAAATAAAAGTGGATTATTTTTCACCATTTTCACTTTTAATATAAAAGCATTTAATATTCATATTTTTCGCACAAATCACATGGAAAGTTGCATTCAAATGTTCTCTTTCAGATATATATATATATATATATAAAATCACAAATTTTATTTGTGTGAAGTGAAATTGTGTTCAAACACCACCTTTTGAAAGATGATACAAACTTTTGTTCCAACTTAACAATTTTCACATTCTTATTTGTCTTTCATAATCTGACTATTTTTTTAAAATATTTTCATTGTCTGACTTTCTTATATTTTTCTTTAACATTCTTATTTTTTCCTTCTTAACATTCTTATTTTGTTTGTGAGAAGCTGGCAGAAATGCTACATGAAATAACTTTCAAAATCTTCCCTTTTTTTCTGTTTAGGATTAGGTTTCCAATTCTTTCTAAAGTCTACTTCAACTCTAATGTCTCCATCTAAAACTGACTATTAATTTACTATTGAATTATCTTTTGTTTTCTCAATAGGAATCGTCTGGTTTACACCCATCACCAGTCTTTTGAGCAGGTGTAGAGGTTTATCCCTTGTTTCCCCTTTAGGATTGGTTTCCTGCTTCTTTCTAAAGTTTACTTCAACTCTACACTTCTAATGTCTCTGCCTGAACTCTGAATTTTTTTTTGTTTTACTATTTATTTATTTATTTTTTCCTTATAGGAGTAGATAGGTTTGTCTATCACTGAGTTCACACCCCTCCTTGATTGTCTGAACAGGAGTAGAGGTTTATCCCTTGTTTCCCGTTTATGATTGGGTTCTTCTATCCAGTAGCCACTTGTCTTAGTGGCATTATTGCCTTGGATGGTGTGAATTGATAAAAAATAAAACAAAACAAAGACCACTTTCCAAAATTGACATGATAGACTGTGATTTCCTCTTGTACTTTTGTTTGACTTGCATATCATGCATGTGTCTCCTCTTTGACATCTGAAGAGAACTCTTCCGAAGATGGGCAGTTTGGCATTTCTGCTTGGTGGATTCCCCTGGAGGGAAGGTGGGTGTGGAGAGAAAGGCAAGAGAATGAGAAAATATGAGAATAAGGGTGAATGAGAATTTATACTATTTTCATGTTCACATCAGATGTCTTGTAATTGTTCATGGAAACTGAGTAACAAGTTTTTTTTTTTTTTTTAAATTACTGGCATGTTCATTGTCTCCTTGCAAGCCCTAGATCTGGCCTGGACAGTCTCAAGTCTTCTTAAAATGTTCAAGTGCTCCAATCTTGCTACTATTGTTTTAAGAATGTGTTAATTATAATAGATGTAATTCTAACCCTCATATTCTATAAGTTCAGTTAGAATTAGTCATCTGCCTGAGTTTCAAAATATAAGTGTACTTTGCTGCCTTTATCTTTTATTTTTTTTATCTTACTTTCTGGTTTGTTGGAGATTGGCGCATTGGTGATTCTCATATCATTAATTGTAGACTGATTTCTTGATAATATTCATAATGTTTGATAGGTAAATGCATTATTTTACTCATTGAGTTTTCATATTTGTCATCTAAAGGAAGAGGCAAATGAAATTTCTGGGACATATGAGAAAGGAGGGCCTGGAGAATCTGATACTCACAGGACGAATAGAGGGAGAAAGAGATGCGAAAGCAGTGCATGATATACGTGGCAGACTTGGACAGGTGGATGGAGGAGTGTGGTTTGGGGGAATTGGCAGAAACACAAAACCTGTTAAGAGCCACAAGGGATAAGGGGAAGTGGAGGTCTATGATTGCCTATGTCCTGAAAGGACATGGCACATAAAAAAAAAAAAGTTATTCATAGATCAAGTCTATTCAATAATCCACCATTCTACATTTTTCCCTGAAGTTAATCAACATGTTACTTAATTTGCTCCTTACCTCTTCTACTGGCTTTTGTCAAGTATCACAACTCTGTCCTCTTGGCAATTTTGATCATGCTTTAGTATCTGTTGATATTTCTTTTGACTTTTCTATTAGACATGAAGTTATATTGACAAGATTTCTTTCAGTTACCAGTGTACTGATTGGGATTTCATTTTGTGATTTTTTTTATAATGCTTCTTGGAGTGAAATTTTTGACCTTCCTATTAAGAATTGTGCCATTGACTTTTCTTCTTGGGCAAAATCTTGCATCGATGCTTTTGTCCCATTTTAGGCAAACCTGGTGAAACCAGAATCTTCTTGTTTCACAACTATAGCCACTCTTTTTTTCTGCTGTATGTACATTGCAGTTCCACTCACAACAGGTGCCTCTTTGTGTCCACTTGTACATTAAGTCTCTTCAATAATCTATCATTCTTCTCAATAATGCTGATTCTAAAAATGCCATTGTTTGAAAGATTTAAATTCATTTTTGGATTTCCAATTCTTCTAAGTGTTTTTGTGAAGCTTTTGGTAATTGTAACAAGTGTTCTACTAATGATGGGTACAACTGTCTTCCATAATTGGATATTTTTCCAATTCTTTTTCAATTTAATTCTGTCATCTGCTAAAACAACAACTTGCATTATCTGACGAATCTCCCTGTCTTTTTTTACTTATGTGCTCCAATCTTCATTTTACACATTGTCATTTCTTGGATAATGTCTTTGTGTTATATAGGAATAAAGTGTCGCTGCTGACATTTGTGTTTGAACATAGATTTCCAGTGAACAAACTCACGTGATCTCATTATTGAACCAAGTAGATCACGTGACCATAGAGGAAAATGCATATATAGAGGAAGTCGTTTGATGTCTAATATGTTCGCTATCCCTAGTCTATCCTCTATTACTATCATGTTTGCTATCTCTATTCTATTCTTCATTACTATTTGGACTGCTATTCTCTACTCTATTCACTATATGAAGTAATATTAGTATGAGTATTATTTGAAGATGTGTGACACCAGCATTGTTCAATGGCATACTATAGTTGTATTTGTGATTACAAAGTCTCTACTATGCTGGAATTGATAGAGTGGCAAAAAGAGGGTTGTTTTAAGATCACAAAAGTGGCGACGAGGATCAGATTCAAACTCACACAGGGAGACCCTAAGTTAAGATCAAAGATCCTGGCTGAATTAGAAATAGATTCTAAATTAACTCTCCAGAAAATAGCAGAAAAGTGTCAATGTATTTTGAATTTGAGACTTGATACCGCAAAGATTGGGGAAAAAACAATTCATAAGTACCTTGTGTCCAACCAGCCAAGAGAAACTACAAATGTCTTTCAACTAACAGAGCAGGGCAAAAAGGCTATAAATCCCACTTGATACCTAATACTTGTCATGGTTGTGGAGGTAAGCATTTTAAAAGTGATTGTTTTTTCAAGAACAAAAAATGTTTTGAATATAGCAGATTAGGACACAAAAGTACGTGTTGCAGATACAAAAAAAATGGAGAAAAAATAAAACCTATGTGAACATGATAAATGCATGGAGTAACGATAAGAAGTCTAAAAAGGAAATTAACAAGACATCTGAATAGAGGAAATTTGTTTTTGTGTAAATTAATGATGTAAAAATAAAATTGCAACTGGATACAAGATCTGATATCACAATTATAAATGAACAGATATGGAGAAAAATGGGTAAACCCAGTTTATTGATTTCTAACAAACTTGCACATGGTGTCTCAGGAAAAACATTGAACTTTTTGGGTGAATTCAGCTGTAATGTTTCTTTTGTTGGAAAAAACCCCAAAAAGTGGTTGTGCTTGTATTAAAGAATACTGCTAATTTGTTTGGAACAGACAAGATTGCATTGTTTGATCTTTGGAACCTTCAAATTAACTCTTTTTGCAACAAGATGTTGTTACGACATTAAAACGTGAACTGAAAAAGACTTTTCCAGAAGTTTACTGAGAAGGTCCAGGGATATATATGAAAGCAAAAGCTAAGTTTGAGTTAAAAGATAATGTAACACCAACATTTAAGCCAAAAAGAAGTATACCTTTTGCAGTCTTAGATCCAATTAATAATGAATGGGACAGACTAGAAAAATTAGGTGTGATCTCAAAAACACACTATTCCAAATGGGCATCGCCAACAGTCTATGTTAAAAAAAAAGAAGAATAAAATCTTCGTATGAGCTGATTTTTCAATGGGATTAAATGACAGTTTAAAACAACATAATTACCTGTTATCAAGTCCAGAGGAAATTTTTGCCAAATTAAATGGAGGTAATTTTTTTACTAAATTGAACCTGTTAGACACTCATCAGTTAACACTTCTAAGCCATTATCCACTACACCACTTGCACATTGAAGCTTACAGCACCTGATATTCCCAAGCAGTCACCCATCTAGGTATTGACTAGGCTTGACGTTGCTTAATTTCTGTGATCATACAGGAACTGGTATTTCGATGTGATGTGAGTGTAAGCTGAGAGGATCTGTTCTTCTAGTCTGGATTGGGTGATCTGTTTGAATTTCAGTTTCTGAAAATTTATATTTTTATTCTCTTTAAGATAAATTTTTGTTTATCATTTCTTTGTAGGGTTAAAATCCTATTAATTTGCATAGTTCTCAGTGGATCACTTATCCCACCCAGCCATGTCTATTTTTTTTTTTTTTCATTTAGGAGCAACTAACTGCATTTACTTATTAAATGATTATTGATCTCATCTCTATCTCAGGAATACTTAGATTATTATTATTATATTGGTGTCCTACATTGGTGTAAACAATATTCTTCAGGCTTGGTGTCAACAAGACTCCTCACAACTCAACTTTTCAGAGAATCCTTGCAAAGTAAATGATAGTAGTTTTCTGGAGCTCTACAATCTTGGCCTCAATTCCAGCTCTTGTTGTATACTCTTCATTGGTGGTGGGGAGTGTTGTTTGGTCTCATCTCGTGATTTTATCTTTTTCTTTGTTTCTTATTATTAGTTAGCTTTATGCAGGTTCCGAACCTAACATTTCTTATGTAGAAGCTTAAAAATTACCTTAAACAACTCAAATAAAATTTAATAGATTTAAAAATAAAAATACATATATTTTCTTTTTCAGATTGCGAAGATTGTAATGAAGAATATTTCAATAATTGCCCAACGCATGGTCCTCTGATTGTTATTGCAGATACTGAGGTGAATAATACTGGCTTTTACTTATATTTTTAGTTGGATCTTATCAGAAAGTATTTTTATTTTTCCATTTAAATTTTGTGAAAGTTTGAGAAGAAAGCAGTTTAGTTACTTTATTTAGAAATAAGCTGTATATTGAAACACTTATACCTATGTATGATGTGTGTCAGGCTTGATATACTGAGAGGGAAACAGAAAGAGAGCAAAACATGAAGAATAAAACAGAAAGAAAGAGAGAGAGGGGCATAGAGAGACAAAAAGAGATTGTTACACAGAGGTATTTGATGGGGTCATCATAGACGAAGGCAGTTTGTATTTAGGGCTTAAATCATGTTTTGTGACTTTTACAATTTGTTGAGGACAAATTTGCTTCTGAACTGCAAGTTTTCTTTTGAAATTAAAATCATTCTTTTTTTTTTTTTTTTTTAAATCTTCAAATTTGTTGCAGAAGTAACTCTGTAAATGCCATTTTGGTGGTGGGGGATCAATTTACAATGAATTTCTATTGCAAATAGAGCACCACTTTTAAGACCTAGTAAATGTAGTCTGGACTTTTTGTCTTTTCACATTGTGCATTCAATAACACTATTTGGGGATGAAGTGTGAGTGGCTATGGTTAAATGCAAATAAATGGCAGAACTGTACAACAAAATTGACAAATTTGCAATAAACAATAAGAAGAAAAGGATATGGCAAAAAATATTATAAAGCAAGCAAACAATATATACAAGGCAAATTAACAATAATAAGGCGAAGCAACAGCAATGTGGCAGAAAGTTCACAAACTAAGAATTGTAGTTGATGCACAAGTGCAAATTTGGATAAATGAGCTTCAAGACAGACTGGGGTTGAGACATATGCAACCAAGAACCAGTCTACTTTATTGGCTCAGAATTAATCCCAACATGCATGTGTGCATTTTTTACTATAAATTGGGGAGGGGGAAAGTGTTTTGCAGTTATTCACACTAACATTGCAGGGGAGAATGTATATAATTTATATTTATTCCATTTCATTTTATGGAAAATGATTTCAAATGATGAATGAAGCTGTAAATCATACCACATTTCAGTATTTTTAAGAGAGGCTGTGTCACTTTTCTTATAAAACTATCTGGGAATGATCATAGGTTGAACACTACAGAGTGCAGTATTAAAGATTTATTACTAAATCTGTAATTTGAATGGATCCTTCTAGTTAATTTATTAGTTATTTATAAATTAATTTATTAACCACCCTGAAAATTGAATTATAAAAAGCACCAGTTCCTGACTGAGGTCAGTTGATCCTGATAGTGGAGAAAGTTTTCATGAAAGCAATTTGATAATTCAATGTCTTACAGCTGCTGGAAAAATAATGAAAAAAAAATCTTCCAAATTGTTAGCGATGTATTTCAAAATTTGAGGTGGGTTAGTGGAGCAAGTCGTATTAGTTCTCAAAGTGAACCCTTGGCAGCAGTGGCTGGACCTTTCAATTGTAAACAAAGATAGAAAGTATGATACATTAGCATGTGCATGAGAAAGTAGCTGTGAGAAATCAATTATTTTTGTCATTGTGATTAATATAGTATATATTTATTTATGTCATATGTACATGTTTATAGTAATTACATCATGATCATATCTACTAGTAGTTACTATAGTGGTCTTATAACTTAAAAATAACCCTTTCCCATCGGGGAACAATCAGCTTTAATGGACTTCCACTCCTCCATATTAGTCCATTGATGAGAGGTTTGTCTGTACAAACAAAAATCTGAATCATTTTTCCTTAAATGCAGGGTCTCTTTAGTTACTGCTAGTTTATTTTAAGTCAAAGAATGCCACTAACCATAACAGTTAGATGCCTTGCCAGCAGTGGCTCTTTTCATGTGCAATTTTCCCACAACAATTGCCTTTCTCCAGCATTTGTTTTTGCCAAATGGCTGGACTTTGGTCACTCTCTTTCAATTCCTTCAAATTGTAGGCATTTTTGTCAAAGTTTATCTTTTGATTCTGTCTTGCCTTTTGCAGTCTACTTTTAGTTTCTTCTGTATTGAATGAGGACAAGAATTTTTTTCATTGTAGCCAACACACTTCTCAACTGTCTTCCAAAGAATCTCTGGGCTATTGTCATTCTTATTGAATTTGATAGGGGTGTTAGTGAATACCAATATAGCTAAACAAGGATCATTGCATTCATTGTTAAACTTTTTAATTATGCTTTTTATTTGCTTTACTGCCGATTCCACCATTCCATTTTTAATCAGATTTATGAGTTTTGGTGATTAATCTGTCTCTAGTCATTTGTCTTCCTCTATTGGGGCTCATAAAAAAAGTGTCAGTAATTATCACATCACTGTTCTTTTTGTAAGTTATTTTATAATCAAAATTCTGAGTCATTACTGATCACTTAGTGTTCTGTCTTTCTGGCCATTTGTCTTCCATAAAAGTTGTGGTAGATATAGTGAACCAGAGCCAGAGTTGAATGGCAGAAATGGTGAACAGGACTTGCCTTATTCTCGCCGAAAAAGAGTTTGTCTTTGTCTGGCATTGTAACACTGTATCTTCACCCCATAGGTCCCATGCACTCCACCAGACCGTAAGGTCCAGTATTACAGGTTAGACACAAGTCTCTAGTTCCCAATGTTAATTTGAAGCCACCTTCCAGCCATGTTGTGATTTTTTTTTGATCCTGGAAAGCGGTCATCAGATCGTAGAAATCCAGAATCTTCCTGTTGGTCTACCTGTGAGTTCAGATGAGAATCGGGTTAACAGAAAAATAAATAACCAAGTCGAATTGATTTTGAAAGGACAACAGTTTTTTTTAATATATAAAAGCAAACACAAAAAAATATTTCTTGTTGCACAAGGTTCAAATGTTTCTTGTATGTGAACAATCAAACACAATACTCCAAATAATTTTGGTAAGAATAGATGTGGCCTTCTTTTTAACCCTTTTTTGGTCTGTACTTAGCACAACTCCTACAACCTTCAATGTTCCTGTTCTCAATAGTAGTAATAGTATTAGCAGTAGCAGGAGTAGCATTACTTAGATGTTAGTGGTGTTATTTCGCTTCACACAGTAGATGTTTTCTTTTCAATCTCTGATGTCTCTCACTCAGTTCGATTGCAGTCAGAGACAGATGAACCCAAAACTCTCCTTTTCAATCTCTGACATCTCTCCACCCAGCTCAACTGCACTCGAAAACAGATGAGCCCAAATCTCTGATCATTTTCTGGTTGGCTCGCCTCTTGATACTGGTAATGTATCTGTTTTCCTAGTGCGAACATACTGACATAATTTCAAAGTACAAATTCACTTCTCCAAGCATAAACAATTTACTTTTCCACTGATTGGTTTCCAAGGTCCACAGCAAGACTCTATCATTTTCACCTTGCTAGCAACCACTTTGCCGCTCTTTGTAAACTACAGAGACTCCAGTTTCAAAAATAAATTCTAAATCAAAACATCTTTTATTTTAACTTTGATTCTTAAAGTGTCAAAACCATTTTTTTTTAAAAGTTCCAAATTATCATTGTACCAGTAATTTTCTATTAGTAATCTGATATACTTTGTACACTTACAAAAAGATTGTATTTCGTGTTCTAATTTAACTTTCTGTAGCATTTACATTTCAAAGTCTTTACAGCATTTAATATCTTGGTTATTCAAAAATGCCCTTCTTCACTTGGTGTTTTCTGCTTTACAGCATATCCTTTTTTTTTCATTATTAATATTTTATGGGTGATATTGCCCCTGCCACAGCATGTATGACTTCGATTTGAAAGGAGGTGGTTACGGTGTTCTGTCAAAAGAAACCCTTCTTTGTTGTCCCACAAGAAATTGGTTGATTAACGACTGTGTATAGTATTAGTGTGTTTGGACGGAATCGAGGAGGGATATCTGGGTGTGTTAGTGCTCCATTTTGAGGTGCCTGTATGTCTAGTATGTTTATCATCCGGGTGAGTGATTGGAAATTCCCCATTATAAGTAGACCATCGTGGAGATGAGAGAGACCTTCTGACAGGGTACATTGTACTACATGTACAGGTTGTGGTAGGAGGAATGAACAATGAAGCGGATACAGGGAAGAGAATAATGATAAAAACCAAGAATCCGGTGTAGAGGGAAGAAATGAACAATCTGAAATTAGTTCCCTAAACAGAGTTGCTAACTTCTTTTGACTACAAAAGTATGCATTGAATTTGTATAATCCAAAGACAATAACTCTCATTTCTTTTTCAATAGGAGCCTAGTTCCTTTCATAGTCATTCAAAACTCTTGAAGTGTATGATACTAAGTTTCTTTT